ATAGAATCCTGGGAAATTGACAGATACCAGATGGTCCTGCAAGTTCCCACAGAACACAGCGAGAGTCATGGGGGGTATCTAGGGGTGAGTTTAGACACCCTCTAATACTATGTTTCTTGCTTAGTCACGCCCTGCTTTTAAACTCACAAGGAGACCAAACACCTGGATCCAACATTTTCCGAACTCACCCTACGGCGTCTTCCAAGTCCCTGGCTTCCCACACTTGAAGTCTCTTCCCAATCTGACGCCACCATTGGGGACCACTATTCTAATATCTGCTTGGGCCAGTGTCTACTTGGGTTCCCAATCCTCACGCAAACTGAAAACTTCACGTCTCACCTCACGACGGTGGAGCAGGGACCCTGCTGGGTAGGAAGTCTTTGGGGCACTGCCTTTCCCTGGGGCCACGGGCTGTGAACACGTGTCCCTGCCATCTGCTGCCAGCTCTGCAGTCACACGTCTGCTCACGCCTGATCCTTCTTCTCATTATGGTGCATAAATCCCTCTGCCTGACCACTGCCACCTGCCACATCTGTCTGTCTGTAATTTGTGCTCTCTGCGCAGTGGCCATCGAGGAAGTTGAGTTCTTTATGATGCTGAAGGACCCCAGGTGGATTGCTCTGGGTGGCTGGAGGTATCCAGCCATTAGTTTTTCAGGGACACTGTTATCTTTGAGTGCACAGGCTCTGGGGTCCCTCTGACCTAGAAGTCATACAGGTGGGCAGCTCTTAGAAGATCTAAGCAGACCCTGCCCCTGGCACCTGTCTATCACTAGGCTTCTGTATAAATCACAGGAAGCAATGGCGCATCCATCTTGTATGTTTCTCAACCCTCTCTGCCTGTGTGAGGCCGCCACTCTCATTGGTCCTGAAGGTAAGGAACATGGGTACTACCATTACCTCAAAGGAGTGCAGGTTCAGGCAGGATAAGAACTTTAGACAAGGTCAAAGTTAGTAAGAGTTAGAGCCAGGTGTGGTGGCTCACGCCTGCAATCCCAGCCCTTGGAAGCCAGAGACGGATGGATCACAGTGACTTAAAGGTCAGCCTGGGCTACACAGTGAGTGCCAGGTTAGCCTGGGCAAAAAAGGGAAATGTGGTATTGAAACAAAAAGGAGTAGATATAGCTGGGGTTCAAGTTTAGTGCAACTCTGACTCTAGAGCTGGCCATCCCATGACTGAGTTATAGTACCCTCAATCTTTTATCCCAGGCTGACTCCACAGTGGATACTGGCAGAGGGAAAGACAAGGTGCATTAGTAGAACAGAAAAGACCTCTGCCTTGCTGGTGTCTGGGACCTTGGTCAAGTTGGTGGAACTGTTTAGGAAGGACTAAGAGGTGTGGCCTTATTGGAGGAGGTGTATCACAGGGGGTGGGCTATGAGATTTCAAAACTCTAAGCCATCTTTCTCTGTTTCACGGTTATCTCAACATGAAGGCTCTCAGCTACTGCTCCAGTACCATGCCTACCTGCCTGCTGCCATGCTTCCCACCATGATGGTCATGGACTCGCCCTATGAAACTGTCAGCCCCCAATAAACATTTTTCTGTCAGTTGCTTTGGTCATGGCGCCTTACCACAGCAACAGAAAAGAAAGGAAGGAACTTTACAGCCCCAAGTCAGTGAAACATGCCTGTACTATCCACCACATGTGTGCACTATTCATGGCCAATGAAAATACTAAATAGAACATTCTAGAAGTCATTCGGATGTTTTAAGTAACTACGTGCATATATATACATATGTGGAGGCCAGAGGCTGATGCCAGGTGCCTTCCTCCATTGCTCTCCACCTTATTTTTCGAGATACATCTCTCATAGAGCCTGGAGCTCAGTGACTCTGCTAGGCTAGACGGCCAGAGAGCTCCCAAAAATCCTCTCTTCTCTGCCCCCCCAGTGCTGGGTTTACAGCTGTACACTGCATGTTCTGCTTTTGAATCTAAAGAGTGCTAAGCATTGAGTGCAGGTGGCATGCTTGCGTCTGAGATTATCTCCCCAGCCCCTTGATGACTTTGAATAAGTAGTCGCAACTGCTTCTGGTCTACCACTGGCTTCTCTTGGTGTAACTTCTAACTGTGCCTACCATGTAAGGTAGCTTTCATCACAGGACACATGGACAGAGAAACAAACAGTGCATGCAGGCTCGATACTATCCAGGTAACATCACAGAACATGTCCTCAGCACACCGGGGTGTTCAATGCTCGCCCCATGCTCTGGGCTCCAGGGAGCTGGGTACCTCAATGCCAACATCACCCTTCTCCCTCCTGAAAAGCCCTGGATTCTTCCCTTTGCTCAGGTCAGGAGCTGGGGAGCAGTTGGGTGAACAAGCTTGGGCCCTGCACATTTCTCCTGGCCCATAAACTGCCTCCTTTCAGGTCTTGAAGGGCAAACACAGCTGAGAATTCTGCCCCTGCCCAAGGACAGGAGAAGAAGGGTCATCTGTTCCTGGAATAAACTCTGGGAAAGGTGCAAGAGGCAGATTCTGGTGGTTTCTAGAGCCAGCACCAACTCTGCTGACACATGAGTGTCAGGCTCAGCAAGATCAAGGATCTCAGCTTGCACAGGCTGGGCTGAGCAACACCTCCCCCTGGAGACTCCACAGTGAAGACAGGAGGGACGCTATGAGGTCCCTGAGCCGAGTAAAAGGAGGCAACCAGGGTCGGAATGGACCTCTGGATGGGAATTGACTTCCTGAGCATCCAACCATTTTGTACCTGCTGGACCACAATATCCATCACCATCAATACCCACAGTCACAATAACCCTGAGTGCAGTGGTTGGGATGAAGATGGCTCCCAGAGGCTCCCAGGGAGTGGCACTCCCAGAAGGTATGGCTTTGTTGGAATTGGAAGTGTATCACTTGAGTTTCAGAAGCCCAAGCCAGGCTCAGTGGTCTCTCTCTCTCTTCCTGCTGCCTTCGATCGGGATGTAAAACTCTCAGCTGCTTCTCCAGCACCATGTGTCCCTGCAGCCAACCCTGCTTCCTACCAGGATGACAGACTAAACCTCTGAACAGTAAGCCAGACTCAGTTACTTTTTTTTTCCCCTTTATAAGAGTTGCCATGGTCTGCTGGGCGGTAGTGGCACACGCCTTTAATCCCAGCACTTGGGAGGCAGAGGCAGGCGGATTTCTGAGTTCGAGGCCAGCCTGGTCTACAGAGTGAGTTCCAGGACAGCCAGGGCTACACAGAGAAACCCTGTCTCGAAAAAAACAAAAAGAGTTGCCATGGTCATGGTGTCTCTTCACAGCCATAGAAATCCTCACTAAGACCCTGACAAAAATAAGATTCCTGCCAACGAAGTGGCCTTCAGAGCCACACACACTGTCCTCCCAGTGGCTCCTTGTGGATCCTGGGGATGTCAGTGAAGTATCATATGGTCATCTGTTTGGTGAGCCATGCATACCAAAGCTAAGGTCAGGGAACGCTGCTATGACCCAGGTGGCTCATCGGCCATCAGAATCCCCCTCCCTTCATGCTGTGAGACCTGGGGCAAAGCTGGAGATCAAGGAAGCTCATTTCCAGACTCCTCACCCTACAGCGATGTGTGACCAGGCGCCTGCCAAGGACAACCTTCGATCCTCCACTGTGGCCCCTTGAATAGTGTCTCATGGACCAGGAGGCTCAAACACTCCCCTCCCACACCTGAGATGCTCGCCCAGGACCTGTCAAAGGGAAACCTTTCCTGTTCTATATGTCGTGGTGGTCTAAGAATCAGGCTAACTTTATCTTCAGGGACAAGGAGTTTCTAGATGTCTAGCAGGTGCATTCAACCTCCAGGCCTCAGGTACAGCACACAAACCATAAACTAACTTAAAACATGGGATCTTTTTTTTTTTTTTTTCAATTCTTTACGTTCTATAACTGGGCTGCACAGTTCTCAAGGGTGACCTCTGCAGATGGCGTCTATCACAATGTCTAAAGCTTGAATGCACTTTGAAAGAGTAGGCAGCATGTGCGCCCCCAAAAGCCGTTCCCTGAAGACACTGTGGGCCCAATTTCTCAAAGCACCATGGCAGCTGCATCATAGATGGGCTTCCTACCTTCCTCAAGGAACCTTCTGGAAGTTTCCCTGAAGCCCAGAGCATGGGTAAGATGCCTCACAGGAGAAAGGGGGCTGAGGGCTCTTTCAGGGAAGCTGGGCTGCACTGGAGGCCCATTGGCCTGTGATGTTTGGGCAACTGGTGACCAAGGACTTGGTCTTCTTACACACCAGCATAGGTACAATGTCTCCCCAGCATCAGGGCTGCATGACACACCACCTCACAGGGAAACAGCACTTGTCTGAGTGGTGAGAATAAACCCAGGCCCTTCTCAGAGCCCAGCTTGGGGAAGCAGAAGTAATTTGATGTGACATAGGGAAATATGTGACATCTCTGTGATGAGTGATATATCCGGAACCGGCCCCCAGGCATCTCTCCAGCAGAGCCCAGCACACACTCAGTCCCGAGCAGGGACGTCCCGAAGGCTCCCAGGAACGTAGGACAGACTCATCAGTAGATCAGTGTCCTGGTCTATCAAAGATGGCTCCCGAGGCCCCACCCATCCCTCTCTGAGAATCTATGTGCAGTTAATGGTTGCTGAAGGGAGAGGAGACATTTGCTTTAGTGGTGAAGCTGCTGTCAAGTTGCCAAGAAACCCCTCATGCAAACTCCTGTAAGCAACCCTAATGAGACTTGGTGGGGGTGGGGGCGGACGGGGGAGGGAGACTAATTGGTAAGAAGACCGAATGAGCAGGTGTGGGAGGGACAAGAGAAGGTGACAGGGACACATACAATTAAAGTACATGTATGAGAATGTCAAAACAAACCATTATTATGTAAAATACATACCAATGAAAAACTGCAAGCACATTTTTTTTTAAAAAAGCCCATTCACTTTTCATTCCTCAGAGCGACTGACACCCTGGGACAGGACACAGTAGGGGCCAACTCCAGGAAGCTCAGAATGGCTGGGAGGGCCCAGGCAGGCCTCCCAAGTCTGTGCTCTGTCGCCTGTCACTCACCTTGCAAGGCCTCTTTGGCTCTGGCCAGTTCCTGCTCCTTCTGTACCAGCTGCACCCGGAGCTCAGTGGCTGAGAGGACCTCGGAGCATTTGCCGCCCTGTGACTCCTCCAGGTCCTTCGCCAGCATTTCCTTCATCTGCCGGAGAAGGTGTACTTCCTCCTGAAGCTGGACCACTTCCTCCCGCAGGAGCACTAGGGGATAAAAACAGTTGGTCTTTGAGTCTCTAAGGTTTAAGGTCCCTTACTGTCTGTCCACGCAGGCAGCATGGTCTCAAGAGACCCTGTCAGTCTTTTGTCAATTCTACAAATTTTATGTTCTTTCTTGAGGTCTTGTTTATTACAAACCACAGGGATTCCCAAGCAGTCAGGACTGCCAGATTAAGAAAGTACAATACTTTAAGGCAATGGTGGCTCACAGCTTTAATCCCAGCACTCAGGAGGCAGAGACTGGCAGATCTCTCTGAGTTCGAGGCCAGCCTAATCTCCAGAGGGAGTTCCAGGACAGCCAAGGTTATACAGAGAAACACTGTCTTGAAAAATCAAACCAAAACCCAAACCAAAAAGAACACCAAAGTAAAACAGGAGCTAACACCCCAGATGCACAGGGACCAGACCTTAGGGAAACCATTGGCCATTCTTACGGTAAGTATACCCCAAGTAGCGTGTGATCACACTTAAGCTTGGAGTGAATTTGTACTGTCCTATGATCTAATTTGACTATGCTGTCTGTTTTTTCCCCGCCCGCAGGGTTCTCCCCTCCCACGGCCACAGGCACAGGAAGGAGAATGACCCAGGGGACTAACATTGCTAGAACACCCCGAGGGATTGGGTGAAGATGGAGAACGAACAGCAATTGCTACATTTGAGCCTGGCCAAGAGCAGAGATGGGGTGGCCTTGGCAACACAGGCATCAGAACAGGTATACCCGGCACAGGGCCCCACCGTCCAGCCCAGCCCCCACGGTGAAGTAGCCAATGGGAACCAGGCACACCTAACAAGGGCCCAGTCTCAAAAAACCAGGCAGGAAAAGCAACCAAGGGAAAATGCATGCAAGGCTCCTGCAAGCTAACTAAGCACCCACACTGGCTGGGCAGGCTGCACAGCTTGCCGGCTCTGCTCTGCACCTTCCGTGATCAGGGCCAACCTGTCACGTGGCGGTTCTGGGATCACCGCACAGGGAAGGGTCTGTGTCTACAGGCCTCACTCTTCTGATCTGTGAAATGGGGGTATATGAAACTTAAATGGAGACTGGGGGTGCGGCTCAGGGGTAGAATCGATGCCTAGCATGCCCAAGGCCCTGAGTTCCAATCCAAGCCCTACTCCAAGCCGCTTAAATGTAGCTCGCATCCTGCCCACAGTACTTTAGTGTCACCAGCACACACAGCTCTCCTTGCCTTCTGCATAGAGGGGACTGAACACTCAAATCAGAAACCATGGACAATGAAGGACCCGGAGAGCAGGCTTGGCTTTCTGCCTGAGAGGGTTTGGTACCTTGCGGTGTGTCCTTGGATAAGACACTAGCCATCTCTGGAACTTTTTAGGGGTGCTTAGAGGGGACTAGCACTCTTTGTAAATCTAGGTGAATGTTGTTGCTAGTATGTGGGAACAGTCTCTGGACTCTGGTGTGTAGCTGCACAGCTCAACGGTTGCCAGCAAGAACAGGCGGCTTACTGGGTTCAAATTAATTAAGAAACGAGCCAAGTTTCTCAGCTGCACAGGGCACACCTGCTTCTCAGATGCAGGAGACTTAGGCACAGGGCAGTGCTCAGTACAGACTACGGACCTTCCATTCCAGCCAGTGTAGACAGGCATGGGGAGACAGGAGGCAGGTGCAGCAGCTGAGCCAAACACTCATGCCCTGCTCAAAGGAATCTTCCAGGTCAGCCCTGCCCTCATCCAAGCACAGAAAAGCAACAATACCATGAACCATACCCCTCTGCGCCAGGAAACCATAATCCTCAGTCCTCTGGACAGGGAGTAGGCCAGAGCGCAGAGAGACCAACAAAAGCCACAGTCAGGCAACTGTTGCTGGGAGATTTCGCTCCCCATGGAGCTAGCTTGCCAGCCCAAGAGGTCCCAGGTGCCCCTTCCCTGAGGAAGAGGGGGTGCAGCGTAACCCCCCAACGGTACATCCACGATTGGTGACCATGGGAGCTAAGACCTGCCACTCCATAGCCCGTCTCCTTTAGTCTGCAAGAATTCTGCTTTTTAAGAAAATGTTACCTCCCAGCACCCGACGCAACTGAGGTTGCTTACATGACAAGAGTATAAAAAAAAATTGTTTTTGAGAAGAAATGCCACTTAAAGACAAAAAAGAAAAAAAAAAGACTGAATTTTTTTCCCCCACATTTTATCTTCGGAGAGTAGATTTAATGGCTGGAGCTGCAACAGCCACCTAGTAATAAAGAGACAATCAATGTCTTGACTAGATCGATCTTCACAATAAGCCGTGAAATAGCAACTGTCACACCAGCTTCCTAGATCAGGGGTTGGAGGCATACGGGGAGTTAAATGACAGGGCCAAGCTCACAAAAAGTCAAGAGCAAAGCCAGGCTTTGGGCCTGGGCGGTGTGATGTCAGCACCCTGTTCTAGCTTCTAACACACAGTCTAGTTCCGAGTTCCGAGACATACTCTAGGAACAGTAATGGCTGCAGATCTCCTCATACAAACATCCCGGTGTGGGTCATGAGAGCTATAGAGTCCGTGCTTAACTGTGGGAACCTCCATAGTGGTCAGACCACCTACTGTCCATTGTTAACCAAAATAGAAGGCTCTGGAGAGGAACAGCCTGTGGGTGACTTTAGCAACAGAGTCCAGATCGGTATCAGTCCTGGGCTGGTGTGACAACAGAGTCATGTGCCCTCCTCCTCCTCCTCATGACCCTCTTAACTCTCCCAGGAGCTCCCTTGTTGTCGCTCCCCATGGTGGGGTAGATCTCAGGGTCTCAGCCTTTGCCCCATGTTCATGGTCCCTGCAGCTCTTGAGAAGAATGTGGGGTTCCTCAGAGACAGAGTAAGGATCTTGTCACTCGCACCATGGTGCCAGTTCCAGGCAGGGTCCTGGCAGGCCTGTGTCCACGGTGCTGGGTGTTTCAGATAGAGGCAGGCTAGGCAGCTCAAGGCAGTTAGTGGGGCTCAGTCACGGTTACGTCCTGATGTGGACCCCTGGCATCTGATCTGAAAAAATGGAGCAAGACTGGTTTCCCAGCCTTCAGCAAACATCAAACAAAGCAACTGTCTCTCAGGTTCTGTCTAGCCTTTTGACACTGTGACACAATGTTGCTACCTACAAAGTCCAGGGGAACTACAATGGCGCTAACAGTAATTGTAATACTAATAATAACAACAATAATTTATATATGATCTAAGTTTTAAGCAAGTTCACCACGTTGTATAGGGCTGCATTCATAGCTATCATGAGACACATGCTGCCCAACAGCCACAGACTGGATAGAAATATTCTGGTCAAGGGCAGTTTATCACCAGCAGTTTGTTTTGTTTTGAGATAGGGTCTCTTTTTTTACATAGCTCTGGCTATCCTGGAACTACACTGGCCTTGAACTCACAGAGACCCACCAGACTCTGGCGGTGCTGGAATTAAGTTTGCCACCACACCCAGCTCAATTTCCTGATAGAGAAGGTGTCCTCTGTCTTCTTGGAGAAGGCTCTGGTCTCAACACCTAAGGAACCCTGAGCCACAGCCTCCCTGACTTACAGAGTCTGCTAAGGGAGCAGTCAAGGCCCTTATGCAGACCCTGCCAAGGGACAGAGAACAGAGCAGAAGGGCCTGGGTGAGGACGTTGGGCTCAGGGACTGTTGCCAGCTACCTACGTGGAGGGACACGTGGGTCACCAGCCAGGCATATACCTGCTCCTGAGCTCGGATTCTGCCCTCCTCCGGCAAAGTAAATTTAGAAAGGGAGCCTCAGCCCGAGCTAACCTGTGCTCTCTAGCTGGCCTCTTCAGAAGGATACCTCGGTGGCTGTGTAGACTGACTTCCGTTTTTGGACTGTGGACAAGAGGACCAATACTCCCAGGAGGGTCACTTGAGGCATATATGCATGGAAAGACGTGAGCGAGGCCCAAGGCACAGAGAGGAGTTACAGAAGAACAATCACCACTGTCCCCTCTAGCCTTTAAGAAACCACACCCGCCACCCTTTCTGTTCCCCTGGTGGCCCGTGCTAGGTGCTAAGTGACAAGATCCTTCCCTAAGGCCACAAGGCAACCCTGTGCTGGACAGACACTTGTCTCTCTGTGGGCTGGCCCGAGCCTGGTCTGAGCTGGCCTGGTTACTACAGGGTCTGGGCCAAGTCCTATGCAGCTGGCAAGGCTGATGCTTGATAAATATTTGAAGCAAGGTGGGATGAGACAGAGGAGGAAGGGATCCCAAAAACAGAGTGAGGAGAGGGTTGCTAGCAGCCCAGGGCAGACAGCGAGGCCTTCCTAGTGGTCCAGTCCCTCCCCTGTGCTACACTGTACAGAGACGAAACGTCTTGGCTGACAGGTACATTGAAGGCCGTTGATCTCTTCTGCCTGGGTGGTACCAGCAACACCTCCCTGGTCCTCTAGGGTACTCCTCAGTTCCTTGTGACATCGGTGTCCCATCCTCACGTGAACCCTGAGGGATAAGCCATCAAGGCATCTTAAGGGATACTAACATCAAGGGACACAGTGTGTTGGGGGGGGCAGCGGGAGGGGATAAACCAGAGTTTCTCTCTCCTGAGGGTGTCAGACTAGAAGCTGACTCGAGGTGATAGGCATAGCCTCTTAAGCTCAAATTCCCCCCACAACCCCCTGTTCCCATGGTTGGACAGGGGATCCCCAAACCGCCCTAAGTAGTCACGACTGCTTCCATCTTTCCCTGGCATCCGAGAGGAGCAGGAGTCCTAAGTAGGGACAGTCTGCTATAAAGCTAGCTCTGAAAGCACCCCGGATTCTGTGATGGTCAGAAGTGTCGTGGAGAAACACAGGAAGAGCCAGGATGCAATGGCATCCGGTGTGTGCAGCCAGCCAAGAGGGCTGCAGACAGGCCAAGGTAGCTCCAGGACTGACTAGTGCAGCCTCCCTGGGCCCGGACTGTCCTCCTTCCTCAGGTTAGGCTTGTCTTGGTTCTGCTTGGGGTGGGGAGCGGGAACTGGAAACAGTCCCCTCTCCTCAGACCACCACGGCTCCCACTAGCCAGGTCCTCTGC